TTCATTTATTTCGATGCTGAACTAGTACTGGCGCATGCCAGGAGATACAGCTTCACCTGGTTTGCTCCTAAACAACTTTGAGGAGAGGAGTCTATCAACACGTTCGTCAATAGCTGGCTAATTTCATGTGTCTTCGCTTCTCGCAAAGAATGAATACACAGGGGATCTTGACTTCTAACTTCATTCCACTTATAATGTCTCTTGTAATTTACATCGCCCACTATGCCGTCCTCGTTGTCCGACGCCGGTTGACCAGTATGTTACAAAAATTTACTTGGATTAATGAAAAATCAAAATGTGAACAACTTACTTCAGCGACACTTTTCTTGAAGACTTGTATATCAGAGGCGACTGAATTCAAGCACTCGCCTTCGCCTTTGATTTCAATCTTATCACCCTTTTTCAGCTTGCCCTGTTCTATTGTCCCAACGATAACTGTTCCCCTTCCGGTGATCGACACTCGCGATGCCACAGGCATTAAAAATGGTTCATCCTAAAAACAAGACGATTTCAGAATACGATGTGCTATCACTCAATACCCTCGAAATCTTTTACACCAGCACGGAATTCTCGAACAAATGGGTTTGAGTGAAAAATGTGAATGAACAACTTGCAGCCTCTTCGGAAGAGGAATGGCGTCCAGTGCAGAAATCAGCTTTTCAATACACTCTTCATCATCGTCGTGCAGAGCCTTCAATGCCGAACCTTTTACAACAACCACTGATTCGTCTGCAATGACTTTTACAAGCACACAAACACAGACATCTGACACACTACCGTTTTCTGCTTCTAAATCATAAGTGTCAGCGCTGCTTGTTTCTTCTTCACGCCCATTAATTTCATTAATTTTTCACATTCACATCAATTTTTAAACGTGCAATTGATACAGTACCATTTCCCGCTCCTTCAAATACTTTCTTTATACATTCACATCAACGCAATTATGCGGCCATAATAACATTATTGCCAATTTCTTCTTCACATGTACTAGTTTCATCAGTTTTTATACAAATACACCGTCACACATGTGTCATTATTATACTAGCATTGAAAACCCCCACATTTTTAATTTCAGCAGTCTTTATACATTTATATCGACACATATGTGCCACTGGTTTATAAAGGCTGCTGATTCCTACATGTGTATTTGCTTCGATAATTTTTTTACACCGACACAGACACAAAACAGAAGCACACACACACACATACATACACAAGCGCACACGGACACATGCACAACTGGTCCAAGCAAGCATTGCCATCTTCCACAAATGTGTTGACTTCGAGAATCATTTTTTCGCTTTTTTCAATCTCTGCTATTGTGTTCTACCTATCGTTATATTTGCAAGCTACTTATTACTACTTATCAAAGAAGAGGTATGAAGAGCCAACCTTTATACCCATGTTGTTCCAGTAATTCGCGTGCTTCGATTTCTACCAGCGTCGCGACATCATCGTCCACCAGATCAA